ATGGATAAAAGCTAGCGTCAAGCTCACTCTGCCCAGTTACCAATTCCTAAATTGACCAAATATCCGGTTCCACCCGCACACTGATCGCAGCCAGTGATGCTTGACTGCGGGACTAAATTTATACTGAAATACGATACATAGTTGGTCTAGAGCAGGACAGAAGTAGGGAGCCAGAAACTTCAGCATCTCAAAATTGGTCGCGAAAAGTAAACAAATACGATACACCAAAATAAATAGGATATAAGGTTTTATCCTGACACATGTTACAATTCACACGCTATTTTGTAAATAACCATTGTTCCTAGCATCATTTTGTAGTTTTCTTTTATGTCATTTCCAATTTACTTTCTATTTAAACGATGGCCTTTTATTGAATATCAGGAATGAATGTGATAATGTCAATTAAATGCATTAAGTTAAATTTTAACTTTAAAATGAAAGGAATAAATTCTGTCGCAAACTTCAAGCCAAAATTATATCACACAGAACAAACCCTTCATTTCAAGTACAATAACCCTTGCTTAACGTTGCAAAGTTACGTGGAAGTTCCTATTTTTAAAGATGTGAATTTGTTTTCTCCAGGCTTCAAGTCTCTGCTTGCTGCGGAGGACCTATTTTCACCTAAAAGTGAGCACGAAATAAGCTTGATTTCCAAAACTATTGACTTTGAAAAATTTCCCAATCCCAATTTACCTGAAGTTGCTTTGATAGGTCCCAGTAATGCTGGAAAATCATCGTTAATCAAAGCAATATTGCAAAATGTTCCAGATATACGCGTCAAAACATCGAAGAAACCTGGCCATACGAAGTCAATTAATTTTTTCCAAGTCGGGTCTAAACTCCGTCTTGTCGACATGCCCGGGTACGGCGAAAGGCAACCACGGTGGTTCGAAGATATAGTTTTTCCATTTTTCCAAAGCAGTCGGAACTTGGTGAAGATATTTTTAATTGTTGATGGTAAAGTTGGACTTGAAGAAAGCAGTGAAGATATGTTGAAGTTGCTGGAGGAATTTAAACGTCCTTATTGTACGGTTCTAAACAAAATCGACAAAACGTCTGACAGTGTGCGATTGAGGAATCTGTTGCATTTACAAAATTTTATTCAAGATAATAGACTTTTGTATTGTCATTCTCATCCCTTCATGTTGAGTAGTTTGACTTATGAAGGATTAGCTTATTTCTTGGCATTTTTAGGACACATCACTGGAAATATTAATATAAATGAGTGA